CCCCTCCCCCCCCCCCCCCCCCCCCCTGCCTCCCTCTCTGACTCTCGCCTTTTCTCATGCTAGAACGGGGAGCGGTCGCAATCCGTCCCCTTTTCCCGAGAAGACACTGCCTTCGCCAAACCGGACGACAAATCCCAAGACCAAGAAAAGGCCTCCAACACCAACACCCAGCAAGAGGCCGGAGGAGAGGGGGCACAGGGGAATGGACCCCCCCAAAAGCCGTCCAAGTCCAAGCTAACTCAAGACTTTCGGACGGAGAAGGGCTTTGCGGGGTATGCCGCGGCCGCGCAGAGGGGGGACCTGGTTACCTTCGACGTCGTGCTCAACAAGGGGTGAGCGAGCGTGTCTGTCTGTGTGCTGCGGTTGCTGTTCGTGTGCTGCCCTTTCTGACGTTGCCGCCAGCGAGTCGAAGGGTGACCGTGCTTGCTTTTGCTCGAGCTTGAGAGGTTGAGGGTGCCTGATCAGTCGCGTCGACTCCAGTTGTGTTTTGAATTTTAAAGGCTTGGGGTGGCGGTGATGTTTGACGGTTGGTGTCAGGAGATTGATTCGAGTCACATGTCGATTACGGTGATTGTTGTCGTTGTTGTATCCGGAGTGTCGAGTCGACCTCACTCGGCTGTGTTTAGCAGGAAAGGACACTTGCTGTTGGGGCCACAGCCGGAATGGCCTCACTCCTCACATGAGCTCCCACCTCCCTGAACCTCCAAGGCAATAAGGCGCGGCATGCCGCACACGTTTGTAGGGGCGAAACCAAACCGATTTTTCGTTGTCTCTTAAAACTCTTGTATTGTACGTGCACCTATCATACCCCTCTGCAGGAGCATGAAGCGACGTGCGACCAACGTGAAGGTAACCAAGCGAGCTTCGCCGCAGGGCAGCAACGCCAACAGCTCATCGAACAGCGCCAGCGGTGGCGGCGGCGGGCAGGAGCACGGCAGCGGCCAGGACCAAGAGTACATGGGGGTGGTGTCGTTGGTGCAGCTGGAGAGGCACTACGGGTTCATTGAGGTGCGTTAACGTTAAGCCCTTAGGACCGCGACCGACTGGCGTTGGGTCTTCTGGGATGTCATGTCACATTATTCCAATTCCTGCTTGGCCTAAACCCGTGAATCTCATGGAAGCACACACTGCTTGGCGTCGCGCGCTCCCAGTGCTGTTTTTTCTAATCACGATGACGGCTCTCTTGTCCGTTGTTTGGAAAACGAATGCACCAGGTGCTGGACATGGACGAGAGGGTATTCTTCCACCTGTCTGAGGTGCTGCCTGACGACAACAACAACAACATCGCCGCCACGCCTGCTGGTGGTGGTGGTGGTGGTGGTGGCGGTAGTGCTCCCACCGACAAAGACAGCAGTGGCGATGGTGTTGCTGAGCGCGCTGCCGAGGTGGAGGGCACCCCCTCCACCGCTGCAGGCAATGGAAATGCCAAGCCTACCCCGATCATCAAGAGAGGTCAAGAGGTGGCCTTCCGGATAGGACAGAGGCAGGGCAAGCCGCTGGGCCTTCGCGTGCGCAAGCTCCGACAGGGGACGCTCCCTACGGAGGAGTCGTTGCCCTGCCGTTTCGTGGGCGTGGTGGTGGTCCCCCCCAGGAACGTCGGAACCGTCGACAAGGAAAAGGTACAGCAATTATAATAGTATTGCCTTGGCCTGGTGCTGTTTTAGTGTTTGGTCAAAGGTATTGGTTTTCAGCCGAATCGGATTCACCCTGAACGAGGTTGTCGCTGTCTCCTTCTGTTGAACGGTGCACCCGCTACAGGACGCGATGGCGAGTGCTGCTGGCATGGAAGGAGTGCTGGTCATGCTGCAGGAGAATTCTGCCGCTCAGGCGTCTGACAACGCCGCTACAGCCGAGGTACGCGGCTACTGTCGCGGCGCGTAGGTTGATACCACCAGCATATATTCTTTCACTCCGGCTCGAATCTTGCCGAACTTGGGGCGATGGAAGCTCTGCTCGAGGGTACAACGTTGCACAGCGTTGTTGCGCGGGAGACGCGGGTTGCTGCTCTTGCTGGCTTCCCCTCGTGGGCCGCACTTTCCTTCCTGCTCATTCCGTAAACCGGAAGCCTAACGGTTGTTACACCTACTGCGGTGCCCGACGTGAATTTCAAGTTGCGTACAACTGCTGTGTCCCTTCACCCAGGGTCTTACCCGCCCCTCCCAAAACAACCCCCCCCCCTCGGTGTTTGCCATCGGGGTTGGGTTTTCGTCACTTGGCAACGACGTTGTAAAACAAGCCAATTCACTTCGTGAACTCGGCAACCAGGTTACCGTTTTTTTTATTTTACCTCTGTTTTTTTTTTGGCGGTAACCATAGTGGTGGTCGAGTAGATCATGTTGTGCGGGGTCGAGAACCCTCACTCCGCGCAAAGGGGGATGATCGCACCACGTTGTGTTAAAATGGTAACGCATCCTCGAGGCAGTTACACAGCAGTGCTTATAACTGTCTCTGGAAGTGATAGCACAAGATAATAAATTAAGTCATACGCAGCTGTCATCCGTACGCAAGGAAGTAAGCGCAAGATGCCGAACACCCTTAGCAGGATGCAGCGCACCCTTCATGCGACTCGCCGAATACCTCACGGCGCTTCGCGCTTGGTGATGTGAGAGCCTGGTCCGGTGAGAACCCGGCGTGCTCCGTCCCGGCTTTGTAGGGATGCGAGGTCAATGGTCTAAACGACTACGGCATGCACGACTATGAGTACCCCCCCCCCCCCCCCGTTCACGCGCCTCCTTTACCCCCGGCCTGCAGCTGCTGCCTGCGCCACCAGCAGAGGGGACGGCTCAGGGCGAGGACGGTGCAGGGATAGCGATAGAAGAGTCGTCGGCACGGGAGGCCGAGAAAGAGGCCAGCAAGGCCCAGCGCATGCTATCCCTAGCGGGAATCCGTGTCGCGTCCCCCCCTCAAGATGCCGCCGCCGCCGCCTCTTCATCTCTGTCGAGCTCTATCGCTGAGCAAGCACCGTCCTCCTCCCTCCTGCTCAACCCGAACGGGGTTTCCTCCGGCAAGAGGCGTGCTAGTCGGGGTGGGGGGGGTGCAGCCCCGAAACCCCCTCCTCGTTTCTCCATCCTCTGCTTCCTGGCCGACACGGAAGGGAAGGGTGTGACAGCAGCAACAGCAGGAGGAGGAGGACACGGAGAAGGCGTTACCGCGACCGAGACCGCGGCGGCCGGAGCCGTTGGCAGTGCCGTCTCTTACGGAAGGGGAGACTTGGTGGAGTTTACCGTGGTGGCCAGAAGGGGCCAGCGGCAGCAGAGCCATCGCGTCGGCGACGTGTCCCTCGTCACGAAGGCAGCGTATCCTTGCCGGTAAGCACTTTTGTGTTGTTGCGGCTAAGTGAAGGTGGGGGCCCAAGCCAGTGGGCATGGGTAGTCGCGTGCCGTACTGTGATGGTTCTATCGTTGGCGGAAGGGGATAGCAAAAGGTGTTGAGGTTGCGACCCACAGCCCGACATGCGGATTGATTAGTACTTACAGGATGAGGTCTTTTTTGAGGGCGGCAGAGCTATAGTCCGTCTTTCTTTTCCCCTTGTTCCGTCTTCCGCAACGAAAACGGGACGACATGTTGCCCCTAGACGTTCACGAACGAAATCGTTCGTTCTAAGTGCCTGGCGCTCATCAGCGGGTTTCCAGGTATTGTAGAGGTAGTCCAGACTTTTCGTGCGAAGATGTCTCCACCGCGGTGATAGTACTGCTGTGAGTCGGTTACACCAACATTTTCACCTGAACCTCCTACATATCCCACTGCTCTTTTGCTGCGCTTGCAGATGTGCTTCTCGACACTTGTCTCAAGTTCATGTGCATTGCCTCCATGTACTTGTTGTAGGAGTCGAGTTTCCGACGAACCTCTCACTCATTGTTGGTTTAAATACACAGCATAGACCGTACACCTTGGAAAAACGGGTCTGACATGTATGCCTCGGTATGTCCTTCGCGTCGGATTGTGCTTGTGAAGGAGGGGCAAGGTGCTTCAGGTAGACGCTAAGGCGGGAGTAGCTTATGTGGAGCTACTGCAAGTTCAATGCCAAGACGCAGACCAGGCATCTACGGAGAAGCCGAAGGAGGAGAAAGAAGTCGATGCCGCCGCCGAGGTCGCTACGACTGCAGACGCTGCAACAGCACCTCCCGCATCACGTCTGACTGACTCGAGCACGGCTGAGGGGGCCTCCAGTCGCGTATTTTTCCTCCTTAAGGTGCGTGCATCCACTCCAACTATTCGTTATGTACTTCTAAATGGCGATCCGCGGAACACTCACCGTGCGCCCAGACTGGCGTACTTGTTCCTGTGGCGCACGTTTGGGGCTTACATCTGATTTATTAGTAGATCCAGACAAACGCTAATGCGTTTTGTTGCTAGGAAAGGGCAGGGCGGGCAGGTACGTTGGCTCGATTGCAGGGTCTCGAATCACGTTCTTGGCTTCGCAACGACGAGCCGATAGGCCGCATGGGCGTAGTAGCCCAGCGATTTCATCACTCTTGTATGGCGGTTGCTTGGGATGCAACCGTTTCAAGTGTATGAAGGATGTCACGGTCTTCTATGCTGCTGTCGCTTGCTGGAGACAGCAGGGGGCAGAAGCAGGTCGACCCGCACAGCTTTGTCGACCGTGGACCCGGACGTTTCCTGAATAAATTTCCTCACCACCGGAAGAAAGTGCTTAAGTGCACCACCTACCGTGGGTTGCTCAATATATCACCCCCCCCCCTGGACCGATTTCAAACCTCGATTACACGACGACAAAGAGGATGCCGCAATCGAAGGATATGTTTGAAAGCTCTAGACCAGACGGTTCCAACGCCTCCCGCCGTTTTCGGCACCGTCACTTGTATTCCTGCCCAGAAGTCGAGCTTCGAAAATCGGTCCAGCGGGTGTGATTTCTTCTGCAACTTACTGTAACTTCCTGATGTGCTGTCTCCCGAAGTGCATGAGGCATACCTGTGACAGTGTGCCTACTTACTGTAACTTCCTGATGTGCTGTCTCCCGAAGTGCATGAGGCATACCTGTGACAGTGTGCCTGTGCCTCCATTCAACGTGTATCCCCACCACGCCTGTACAGCAAGCTTGTTTTGTCTCTCTACGGAGCGAGCATTCCACACCAACGTAGGGATGCTTTTGGCAACTACAGGTAAATGACGCCGGCGGCGGGTATCCTGGAGTCGATTGAGTTGATCAGCCCTCGCCTCGCATCATCCACCGTGCCTTTGCGTCTCTGCTTTCTCGCGATGCTCCGGCCAAGCAGGAGATGGTCGGGGCTGCCGGCCCCCTGCGAAACGGCGACGAGGTGGACTTGATGCTGCCGACACCTCTCCAACGCGTGGCGTTGCAGACCAAGGGCGGAAAATCACCCGGTGGCGTCCACGCCGTGGGGGCTGTAAGAGTACAGGCGAGTGGAATCGAAAGGGGTTGGTGGTGGTTGGTGGATCAATCGCCTGTGGTTCGCGAGCGTTTTGCTGGAACTCATCAGCGTAGTCTCTGCCCATGAGCACTCCTTTTAGTGCGATGAATTCCGTCGTCAGCAGAACACACGCGAGCTTTTCGGAACGATAATGGCGGGGAACTCTTGCGTGATGGAGAGCGAGAATCGTGACGCATGAGTTCTGTATTCGGAGGGTAAGATCTGTCGAAACTTTGTGTCAATACACTCTGCCCGCCTCACTGTCTCGCAAGATTTTTAGCTTGGAGAAGTGGTGCTAGGGAGAATACGGTACTTTCAGTATTTTCCCCCTTATCCGTTCCCTCGCACTTGTCGACCTCATTGCTATCGTTACTATTTACTACTACATCGTAACGAATTGTTCCTCGCTTACTTTTCTGGTGACAGGACCTCAAGAGTCTATCCGGGGCCCGGCAGCGGTTGAATATCACCCTCCGTGACTCCCAGAAGGGGCCTCAGGTTAGATCAGATACCCTGTGGTTTTGGCCGCCGCCAAACGGTGCATCTTTTCTTCGTGTAGGCGATCCATATCAAGTTCGGGATGTTGAAACGGCAGGAGTTGTACATACTCTGTCGAGGAGTCGAACGAACGCGTTAGCGAGATGTGGACAAGTGGTTTATTCTCCTTGACCTAGCGTCGCGTAGGTAGGAAACAAGAGTTGCTCGACTTTTGTACCATGTCGATACCCACCCAGGTAGCTTCTGAGATAAGTGTAGCCCGACAGTTGGCTGTCGTTGATGTTGTCGAGTCATTTTTCTGGGCCTTTTGACGTTTGCCCCTTTCTCTAGTTTCTCCTGTAACTACCCCAGTGTCTCAAGGCATGGATGAAAAATGCACACGTTGACGATTTTGTCGCCCATAATCTCCTCGCTCTCGCCCGCTTTTTCTTCTGTGTGTGGTTGTGTTTTTTTCTTGCGGCAAATTGCGGCTTGCCTGAAAACAGGTACGTATGGCACTTGGTCCGGATGGCAATGGCTTCAAACAGGGACACCGCGCCTCTCAGTCCCTGTACGAGAAAGCCGCTACTGTGCCTCCCTCGACCGACACCATGATGGTGACGGAGGAAGAGGAAAAGGAAAAGGAAAAGGAAAATGTCATCGCGACCGAGGCGGCTGTTGATGGAGCGGAAACGGTTATCAAAGACGAACAGCAAACGGGCGAAACGTAGTAACGATGGTGTTGGAGGAGGGCGGGGGCAAGGAGGCAGGGAATAATAACCTCAAGTTGCCGATGGCGGTGATATTGATCTTCTTGGCGTTGTGGTTGTGTAGTTTTTTGCCGTTTTCCCGTTCAGTGCGTGCTTACAGCAGAGGGCTAAAGGTGACAGGGATTGGCCCGGCAGTAAATCCTATGTGACGGTCTTGCACGCACAGTGAGGTTGAATGTTATTCGGATGTTGTCCGTGTCTTACAATTGTGTCCAAGCGTACTTGATTGATAGTGTATTGCGGCGTGCGAGTTTAATGACTCTACACAACAAAGCCTGCATGTCGTTGGACGACTTGTGTCAAACCATGGACGAGAGGTTGTAGAGCTCCAGTGTTGAATGAGATTAGACTGTTGTTCCGGTAGGAGACTATTCGTCCCCTTTCCCTTTAAGTTGCAAATCACGTGCGTGCGTGCTTGCATGTCCGGTTCGACCTGAAGATTGTTAAGTGTTCAGCGCGCTAAAGCGCGGTGCTATGTTCATGCGTATTCTTCGCTGTTGGTGCCAATCGCCACAAGCAACTACTCCATTCCTCTTGCTGGGGTATGCGGTTCAACATGTTATTTAGTGGCCTTGCGCACGCGCCGCGCTCCACCGTCTCGAAGAAGTTGTTTTTGAGGAACGTCGTTGACTTGGCCCGTTTCTCCTTTCTCTCTCTCTCTCTCTCTCTCTGGCGTAAAAGAAGAGATGTGTATCTGTCCGTCAAAACTAACGAGTTTGCCGACGTGAAGCATCGAGCATGACCGCAACTCTTTTCCATCGCCCTCAGATGTCGTGTTTTCGCTCCCCGCCCAAGACACGACCGAACATTTTTCCCATGCAAGCCTGTTACTTCACGACTGATGGGAAACGCGAACACCGATAATGTCTCTGGAGACACGGTTGCACCTTTGTGTTGTGTCTCGAAAAAAGATCCATGTAGTTGGAGGAGGGTCTTGAAGGTTGCACGCGTACCCACATTTAATTTGTTCAATTGACTCCATAGTGCGTGCTAAATAGACAGGATTGTCAACCGACGCACTTGTAACACCTTTTTCCGTGTTAGGCGTGACGCGTATGGTTTGCATGCGATGAGGAATGAATACGTGTCCAAGCAGCGTGCCACCGTGTACTTCGACGTGGTACAGTATGTGTTGTTGCTGGTGGTGTCAACATTTACACATAACTTGTCCACATAAGACCCCTCACTCACTGCTGTTTCCTTGGTATCCCTGTTGAGGTACAGTAGCAGTGCCGTCAGATCAGATACCTACACAAGCTAGCCTCCTCTACAGACACACTAGCTGTTGCCACAAGCAAGGCGCTTCCAATCGCAATACAATACAGAACCCGGGGTCACTATGAAACATCCCCTCCCAGTGAGGCAAACCCACGGTGTTGAAAATTTGAAAAATCGAGCCGCATTTTCTCAACAAAAATGTATCGACGGGCCCCCCTCCTCTCCGCTCCTCTCTGCCTCTCACTCATACCTCAGCCCTTGCAACTTCCTTGGCGTGGCTCAACAGCGCGCCATCACAGCGAGGGGAGAGGAACCGGCGGCAAAGCTGGGCCAGAGAGCTAGCAGAGAAGTGAAGAGGAGTCACTCGCGTGGTTCGGGTGAGTGGGGTGAAATCTTCACGCCAGCAGATTTTTTGCAGACGGGTGAGCTGAGATCTAGCCTGCAGCTAGCGCCGGAGGGCACACCCGTTTAACTCTCCGGGATCGCGAGGTGTGAATGGAGGGTACACCGAGGGGAGACAAGGGATGTTGGCATGGTGCTTGCTTTCGGTGCTCGCTGCTTTGATTCCCTCGTTGTGCGTCTGTCCAACTCCCTCTGCATGCCTTGTCTTTTTCGCCGAGCTGAACCGTCGCCCCCTCGGACTGCCGCTGGATCCCGTGCATGACATGGCATGGATGTGTAGAGCTACCCCCGCCTCTAGCCCCCTGCCACCGCTGGCACACGTGGTACCCTCCGCGATGCATGTTCCATGCTCAACACACAGTGTTCGGCTTATCGAATCGGTGTGCAGAGGAGAGGGCAAGCATCACTGAAATATTTCCGGAGTGAAAGCGTCGCCAGCGGACGCTTTGGTTCCCCCTCATGTTTGCGTGAAACGACAGTCCACACATATATGACGTGTTTGTTCGAGCCTACCGTGGGCACGGATTTGGGAGTCAATCGAAATCGGTCGCGCTTCCAGTATAGCAGGCAAAGTCAACACAAAGCTAGGCTCGAGCCACTATCAGCAATAGGACAGGTGTACATGTGTCTCTCTCCATGAAATCAAACGCTGGTGCTGTGTGTGTGAATGTATGTATGGGAACCGTTCTTCTTTCCACTAACCCGCTGTACTATCAGCAGTGTGTAAGTACCAGGAACGTTGTTCGTACACAACTAGTGGCCACTGCTGTAGCTTCAATAGTAGCTGTTGTGGGAAGAAGCCAAGGAAGCAGTTTTTCATGGTGCGGTGTAGGCTGTGCGTTGTGAATGGGCGCAGGCGTGCCTGTCTCGATATGCACAACATCCCGGATTTTCGGGAGAGTCGGACCTTGACAACATGATTTTGAGTCCAATTGGTAACACCGTGCTGCTGCTGATACTGCTGCTGCTGCTGCTGCGTTACTGCTGTACCGAGGGTGTCCACACCATGGCGTCCAGGCTGCTGTACCCCACACCTGTGCGGCAGAGAAGAAGAGCGAGCGTGAAACTGGGGATTGTTCGTGGCGGCTTCCCTGTGGGTTTTTCACTCCCACTCGCTCACCACCCCACATTTTCCCTACGTGTCGTCGTCCGCTGCACGCGATCTCTCGCTGTTGTTCAGCTTCTTCAGGATGAACATGATGTCGATGTTTGGCACGGCACCACCCAGTTGGTGCTCTCGGAGGGCAAGGGGGTGCTTGTCGCGCATTCGCTCGAAATACGGCTGGTGCTGCCGCAGGTAAAGTTCAAGTTTTGTTATGGGAGGGCACATTGAAAAATTGTAGAAAATTGTACAAATACGCACACATGACAATGCCCGTGTGGTTTGTCACAACCACGCTGATACGTCCGTCAGTAGCTTCCGCAGCCATTTGGATGCACTCATTCGCGTTGCGGGAGGTACGATGGCTGTTTGGCGCTTTTGTACAGCAGCACTGCTTACTCGGTTTCCCATGCACATGTCACAAGTTTCGCCCGGCCAGAATCTAGAACACACCAAACTTTACCTGTACAGCATGCCTTTCTTTGCCGTGTGCCTTCAAGCACACTCTTCGCCATTTGTACAACCGGATTCAGCTAGTGTTTCGTTTGCTTTGGTTGGTTTTCGGAGTTTGATAATTGGGTGCATACATGTTTTTCACATGACTTCACGATATGGAGATCGTCCGGTGTAGGCCGTGTTTCCTGAGCATCGGCTTGTTTGTCGCTTTTACCACGGGGGAACCACAAACAAACTTGCAATACGTCCATCCTTTTGTGGGGTCGACATACCATATTTTTGGGCTTTTCGGGCGCTGTGGACAAATGGACCCCAAGTCCCGCCGAAGTGCCGAAGACACCAATACAGCGATAGTCCAAGGCCGGGCACAGAGTCGAGGATTCGTCCATCCATGTAAACATCTCATATGACGTTGAGATGATGATCCAGTGTCGGAGGAAAAGCATGTAACAACTGATTGACGCTGTGGCTGTCTGGCTGTGCGTCGATCGTTTGCACTACTGCTGCTGTTGCATGTTTTGGTGCACTTCCGCACAGAGACGATAGAATGACCACCCTTGAAGCGTCGCAACAACATGCATCGGACTCACGTCCATACACTCCGCACTTACTTCGAGATTGAACAGCCCACTGTGGTCAATGTCATACGGTACTGAGATTCTGCCCTCGCCTAACGCGTGGTGGTTGTTTTCTCTCGTACTACTACTGTATGGCGCGCCGTCTTTCTTTTCTGTGCCAATACGTCACAGCAACCGCAGGTCAAGGAAGGTCACGAAGAACGACTACATGGACGTCGCGCCTGCCAATCCTCTGGGACAGGTAAGGAAAAAGCTATGAAATTGTACTTGGTAGTCTGCAACTCAACCACCTGGACGTCTGAGAAATGATTGTTTCGTGTATGTAAACGTATGCTCGGTAGGATTTTATTCCCAGCTTAGCGCACTTTGACTGCATGCGAACTACCTCCGACCCGCAAAAAGTAGACAACAGGGGGTACCGAGGCATGCGTGGTATAACTGATCGGCAAACACAAGTTCAACTTCGACGCTTTCCCTTTACGGAACGAAGCTTGCACGCGTAGTTTCTCCGCATGCTGCGGAGCCAATGCATAAGCGATACTCTTGGTGACACTTGTTGTGTGCCGTGTTTGTTTGTGCAAATCCGTGTGCCTTGATCGACCAAATCGTGCTCGCAGTGGATTTCGTGGGCCCTACGCTCCTGTGGTGCCACTCGTCCGGCTCATGAAGATACTCTTCCTACTTGGGAAAGCGTGGCGGAGTACGATGAGGCTGGGCACACCATGAGGCCGTCGAGGGTAGTGTCGTCGGTTTTCCAGTCCATGGCCGAAGAAGACCCTGCCGCGACGAGCACTTTCTACTCAACTTCCTCTCCCGGTGCCACGTCTGTCCCCCGTTCGATGTCCGCATCTGCTTGTGCGGCTGCCGCTGCTTTTGCGGCGGCCTCCGCTTCTACTTCTGCCTCCGCTTCTGTCATTGAAGTGTCTCGCTCGGTTGCCACCGGCGCCACTTCACCAACCCCTATGTCGGCCACAGCCAACCCCACAGCCGCTAGTGGACACGGAGGCGTTGACCAGGCAAGGAACATCGAGGCCGGGGTGGACAACGTGGTTGACAAGGCGGCCGACGAACCGGAGGAGATGAAGGCCGGCAGCATTTTGGACATGAAGAATGAGATCAACGACAACGGTGAGCACGACGAGGAAGAAGGCAAGATCGCGACAAAACTTATACTGGGCAGTAATTCAATATAGAGTTCAGACTATTGTTGTTTGTTTGTTGTTTTTGCTTTAGTACAAGAACGACGAATGAGTATTTACGACTTGCCTTAGTCGAGTTCACCGCTGTTGTCGTCGTCGATCTTGTACGAAAGAAAAAACACCAAACAAAAAAATAGACACTGAATTCCTGGCCTGTCCAGGAATGAATGAATTCAAGATGCTTATTATTATCTATTTTATGGAAGCCCTCTACTCTGGCTGAGCAGAGAGTCCGGGAGTGTGGTGGCTATATCCTGCCACCGGAGGTTGGCTATTTCCTTTGGTGCAATGTGGCGAGGAATGCCAAGCGTGACCGAGCGAGCTCAGTCAAGCTAGGGTGGCGAAGAGAGTGGGCGAGCCTTCGTGGACCCTTTTCCCATTCTCCTAAAGATTCATCAACTCTTCGCAGCCGTTGGGAATCGTAAGAGTCATAGACCCTCGAAGAACGGTAATCTATTATCACATATCCTCTCAGATCCTACTCTTTATGTACGTGTATCTGTGCTCCCTGAATCTCCATATCCTGACCTCCACAATTTGGTTGGTTGTTTGGTGTTTTTTCTTTCGTACAAGATCACAACGAATCATCTCTATCCACAGATAGATAAGAGTCTGAGATAAATCAGCAATGACTTCACATTGTGGCGAGGCGTCAGCGGACACTTCAAGAATGCATATGTACATGTGTGTTTCTGTGGTTTTTATGCAGATTATTGTTGCTGCTGTGTCCGTCCGTTTCGCGATTTTCTTGAAACGTTTTCTACACGCTGTTCTGGTGGACTTGTCGCTGGACTGCTTGTACCAAATCTGTGCGCAGTTTGAGATGTAAAACTAGAGTCTACCACCAGTACCGCAGATCGACTACAGCAGTACAGCACCACATCTATCGCGTTTGTTCGTGCTTTACGCTGCGGCTCAGACGATCTTGGGTCGCCCCGAATCTCGGTGCTTTTGGCTCAAACAATTGGATATCTTTGTCTATATCCATGAGCCAGTCGGCAACAGTGCCAGTACCCACCCGGCATTGCGCATCTAGCAAACAACTCACCTCGTGGGGTTGTACTCGACATTGTCAAGCTGCCCTTGTAGTCGATAGTCCCGTGAGAAGTCCACGCAACGCCCAACAGCCAGGACGATACAATGATGGGGAGACGAAAAACCCTTCTGAAAAATTACATTGTAGTGAAACGGCATAGGTTCTGCCGCCGAACCACCTCGTCCTCCCGAGCTCCCGAGAGGCCCGGACAGAGTTAGCACTCTGCGCTCTGACCGTTCAAGCGCATACACATGCTGCTGCAGTACCCTAGCTTCTGTTGTTGTGCCTAGTGCAAGAAAGAGAGATCGGATCTCTCGATAGCCCTCATGGAGCCTAACAGCCGTGTTGGACCTTGAGCGGGTTCAAATGCTCGAAGCATGTCTGGCGTTGCCGTTCCTGCCGTGATCAGGGGTGGTTCCATTGGCATGTTCGGACCTGTTTCAAGTTAAAAAAGGTTGTTCGTGTCTGATCCAAGACAGAAGTCCGGCTGTGTCGTACTTGTAACGTGTTTATTTATTCGGGAACACTCATCTTCACCTACGCAATCGCAGGTGGAGCGGCGGTAATGATGGGGTCTGTCATTGGTCAAGACGAGGAGGTTGAGGAGGCGTCCTTCATGCCCCCAGCATTCCGCAGCAGCGACGACAACGCCATGCGGAAGTGGGAGGCAAGAGACGTCGCGATGAAGGTCATCGATGCCGAGATTGGCGGTGGCACGTTCGGTGAGCAACGAAAACAGCAGCACCGCGCGGACTCAGCGAGCGATGCACAGCTCGAACAGCTGCAGCACAGCCGAAACGTCTGTAAATCAACTCGTAAGTCGAACAGCTGCAGCACAGCCGAAACGTCTGTAAATCAACTCGTCGCGTTGTCAGACGAATGTTGTCCCGGTGCACGGAGAACGTGATTGGTTTCAATGTCTACGAGAAGTAGACTACTGCTGTACTCAATTTGCCCTCTGCTGGAGATCGTCACCGTATTGCCCTAGGTGCTAGGATAAAGAGTGCGTTCCCCTGCCCCCGTGACTAGAATTCGGCTTTAGAACGTTCATGCCATGTTCAACGCGGTGGAGGCTGGAACGAAGATTGAGTTAGACGGTGTATTTATTTATGGTGTAGTCTACCTGTGTTTCGCCGTTCGACGTGTAGTCTAGAGTGTTCGATCTACAGCAATGGAGAGTATCCGCCAAACAATTTTGTTGACGTTCCTGCGTACCAATCATGTGTTTATTGCGTTTTTTTGACGCGCTCTTGGAGCAGCCAGGGTCGTATTTGGTCAGACCAGCATCGGCATGCCTGTGGCCATCAAGGTCATCAACAGGGACAGCGACGCCTTTGGAAGCCAGGCAAGAGCGGTGATGTGTTCTTGTCCATGCAAGTTCTGCACTGAGAAGTGACCACGATGATCTTGGACGCACAGCCACAAGGTCGTCATATAGTTTACAGTAGGCTTAAGCACGCCCGGTGTTGAAAGTATACAGTAACGCAAGAAATACAAAGGCCACTGTAGCGATAGCCCCTCGAGACTGCTTCTGCTGTACTTGCTTTCTGGCTTCTTGGCGCGGTTGCGAGCACCCATCGTGCTGCGTGCGTGCTCCATAATATACCGCGTGTCATGTACTCCTTGCTTGAGGTAGGTTAGCTTCGAAGTTTCACCAAACCTTTGAACAACTCCATACTGTAGAACAATAGCTTTCAGCCACACGAGATTTGCAACCCTTCCGCGGGTGGCAGTCGCACAGCAAAATCCGGTTGCCATTCTACGTTTGAAGTAACCCATTCACGGTATTCCCAACTCTACATTAGGGTCGCACCACCGAATATAACACCAACAAATCATGACGATTCCTGCAGGACAAGTACATCAACCGCGAGATCCAGACCCTGACCATGGCCGCACACCACCCGAACGTGGTGGACATCCTCGGCACCCTTAAGACTCCCAGCACGTGAGATTCTACCAGTCAATCTCTCTTGGTGGATAGTGCTGTCTGAGGTGTATCCTTCACATGTCGCGCGCTGCCTGTCTGTACTTGTGCATGTCTGGGTTGTTTGCGACCCATGGTGGTACGAATCAGCAGGCCTTTTGAAGATGACAGCGTGTGCCGTACATGTACAGCATTCTAGTGTTGAAATCGAAAGGCGACTGAGGCCATCGAAAGGCGTTCTATCGACGTGCTTCGTAGGGTGGGGCGGGTTGTTGCATAGGAATCGCTATGTTGAGCACGTAGTTGTAGTAATGTTGTGTGCTAGAACCAAACGCTGTGCTCGGTACAATGAATACTTGCTCACGTGTTTGGCGTTGTCTGACCCACGCTTACCTGGCCATCCCGTGTCGAACTCAACTACAACAGCACCTTCATGATCATGCCCCTTCTGCACTCGGACGTCGCGACTCTCCTGAAGGTGCGGTATGCCCTTGTTGGATGAACTAGCAGTAGTGCAATAGTGATTTGCTTAGGTTAGTGCGGGAACAACAGACTCGCTGCTCCGGTCCTCACTTGTTTGCTCGTTTGTCGGCGTTGGTACTCCCGTCGGGATGAGAGGCGATTGAAATACATACCCAACAGCAGTATTGATCATGTGTTGGTGTTGATGTAATCGTCTGAGAAGTGGCAGTTTTACCGGTCACGTGTTCGCTTCGGTGTCGAGTATCCATGGTTTGGCAGTCATGTATCTGTTCTTTACAGCAGTAGTTCTCGAGGTGCACCAACGGAGTGTTTGCACGTTCCTGCGTCTACTATGTAGTCCGTCCAAATCTCCTATCGGCGGGATGTGAAATTTTCCTCCAAGGTTAAACTTTCGTCGTGGCTATCGTTTCTACGCTCGCAATGTTTGAAATATTTGGCGCGAGTTTGACAATCGTTACGGGTTTCTCTGACGTTCAATGGACGGGGAAGATCGTGAGAATTCCGTTCATTCGCACAACATAAGACCCGAAGGCACTTGAACACCGTGCGGTAACACGAAATACCGCGCTTCCTTTCCGCAATGAATGCAACAGGAGAAGCCCCTGCAAGAGAAGGAGGCCGTGACGATCTCCATCCAGATGTTCTCCGCAATCGAGCACGTACACAGCAAGGGCATCCTGCACCGAGACCTGAAGCCGGCCAACTTGCTGATCACTAACGGTGAGAACAGCCTATGATAGGATGATAGGTGTACCTTTGTTGCGAATTGCGATTGTACTCTGATTGTACTAATACTTAAACTGGTAAACACATCTATGGTACGGTGCTCCCTGTTTGGGAGGGAAGGGGTCGTACAAGCCGTCTCAGTGTACAGTGGTTGTGTCTCTTGGTGTGATTGTGCGATTACCGTAGGTCCAGGAGTTGTGCCTGTCCTATCGCTATGACACCACTGTGATATAGGAAGAGGACATGCACGTCACGGTGGTCGAGCGAGCTTGACCTCGGCGTTGTGGCATGGTCCGGCGCTTGGGCGATTGATTCTTAGCAAGGCTGGAAGCATTTCCGTCCCGTTCCTTGCTACACTAGTAGCACTTTGGCTTTCTGCAACGGAGTGAAGCAACCAATCACGACTGGGTACATGTAGGGGCAACAACGTCGGTGACCCACCCACCCCGCTCCCTTCCCTTTGCAACCGCAACGTAATCGAAATGGACACGTTGACCGACATGAGCACAGACATGCAAGTTCGCCTCGCTGACTTCGGGTTCTCGAAGATGCTGGCGGAGGGAGAGACCACCATGACCGGGCTATGTGGTACCAAGGTGGGATGATGTTGCCCGATTACTGGTTATTGAAACCGTTCGACGTGCGGCAACTTGTTGTGCCGGCCTTGGCGACGCACGTGCTGCAGATGCGGTGCATCTCGCTGTCGTCAAACGCGCTTCCGCATTGGCCGTGGAGCCGCCCGCCGCATCCTCCCTTGCAAACGTGGCTATTAGGGGCTTGTGGCGTTCTGCCTTGTAGAAGACACGGACCACCTTTTGCACATGGCATGGTGCGCGTCTGCGTAGAGCTATTGGGTTGCACTTGTACCCTATTCTCTCTGTGGCGCAGCTGCTGCCATGGCGTGTAGCTGTGTGTGTGTGACGTGCTTACGTAAACCGGCACTATTGAGGGGTTCCAAGGTGCCCAAACCGGCACTATAGTGGGCATCCCTGTTTAGTGTCGGTCTGGCACTAAGCAAGGCTCTGGCTGTGCCCAGGGATTTGACCGGCACTATACCGGGCATTGGCACAATGAAACCGGCACTAAACTGGGACCCCCTCTGTAGCATTGACCGCGCTAACCGGCTGACCAATGAAAAGACGTCAATCTCAGTGCGGAGGAAAAAATAAAGTGCTAGGCCACGATCTGGGACCCTGTGAGGGAGTGTCATGGGGGAGTCTAAATTTATGCAACTCTCCGAATTGAAGAATGGTTGTTTACGGGTCGATTGTACACCTCACGTGCCTCATGCACTGCATACAACACCCGCGGTCTTTCCGTTGTTTCTGCTGGCGGCACCCTATCGCCAGCCCTACCTATCTCCAGAGCAGGTTAACAGATCGCCCTACGGGATTGAGGCGGACATGTGGGCTGCCGGGGTGGTGGTGTCCGAGCTACTCATGGGTGTCACGGTCTTCTGGTGGGTACAATACTAGAAGTACATCATGGCTCGTGGTTGCCAGTTGCAGTTGTATCCCTATTCTAGTGTAAACATGCGTAGACCTGCCTACAAAGCCAGGCGCAGAGGGTCGGGACCAGTGTACCAGAAACGGTACGGATTGTACGGGAGGTGCACTATGCTGCTTTGCCGTCGACTAGAAGAAAACACAACACGCATGTACAACTTCTGACCCTCCCGGCTCCCTCTTTCCCCCCACGCCTCTTGCGGAGTTCAGCCCGGACCCCAGCATCGACCTGGGACCGATCTCTAAGGACATCTCGAGCCTCGAGGAGGGGGGGGACATCCGAATGAGGCTAGACCCGTACGATGAGTTGGAGAGGGAGAACATCCGAGCTGGGGTCTTCAAGGTGGACTCTGAGCGCGTCGGAGCGGTGGGAGAGGACTTCTTGAGGAAGGTGAATGGGATCGAGAAAGCGCGAGTGTTGTGGACAAAGCGTAAAGTAGTCTTCTCCCAGTGCAGAGCAGTGTGGCGTGTATGGGCATGCAACGATATATGTTGATATTGATCATGTGTTGTGCGGTGGTAAGATTCAGGGAGGGTAGATGGAATGGGGAATACATATCTAAGCGGACAAGCCGTACACGGTACACTATACTATCTATGTGTAAATCAGCGAAGCACTAAACTGCTATGAGCATTGGTGGAGGATGACCTCGTCGATATTGGACACACTGCGCCGATCCGCAGTGAACATTCATTCACAATGTAGATTTCGTATGTACAGCGAACATTGCTCGTGAGTCTTGTAACGTCTGCCAGACCTCGGCTGGCTGTGCAAGACCTGTATTGACGTTGGGAGCTTCCAAGACTTGCGGGACCCTGCGACACTATGTAGGTGCCGAAACGACACCGCCTATGTTCCCTATTTCCCGGCCACGCTTTCTGTACCCCCACAGCTAATCGTCCTCGACCCGGCGGAGAGGATGTCCGCACGACAGGCGGGAGAGCACCCGTGGCTCGGAGACGAGGGCGCGGTGATGCTCAAGAGGGCTGAAGTGGAGGCGGTTTTGAAGGAAGCGCAAGAGACAGAGCAGGCTGAGAAGAACGAGAGGATGAAATTTCTCAGGTAGCTGTCAATGGTCGTTACCGTTTCTTTCTCAGGTGGCTTGCACATGTCAATTTTGAACGCCTGTTCGACATCGATATTGTTTTCGGGCTTAGTCAGATCGCTTCGTCCCCCGTGTTTGGAATGATGTGTAGAAATAAGTAAGAGCAAAGTAATCAGAGATCCTTGGTTTTACGGCACGTGGTTGAACACTTTGAATGCACAGACTACGGTTTGCAAAGTCAAGGAGCCTGATCCATTTGAAGCCGTCGACGAAGTTCTTGTTCCCCTTGACAAAGTTCTCGTCGACATCGATCGTTGCTCTTGCCTTCAACTCGGCAGGAGCAAGAGGCGACGCCGGGTGCCAAAGATGGCGAGAGCGGCGAGGGTCCTGGCTCCCGTTGCGGAGGGAGCACTGCAGCCGGCTTCGAGCACCGCGGGCGCCGTGTCCATGCTCACCTCGGCAAGCGTGGGAGCAGCGACTGGGGCGGGGGCGGACGTTCCTCGTGCGATGATGGTGGCCGAGTCCGGGTCCACGGCGGTGCGGTCGAGCGAGGGAGAAGCATGTGGTTCGGGCGCGGGTGTGGTGCAAGCCCCGATCGGCCAGGAGCTGTGAGGGTAGACTGATACCGTACCTTGGGACATGACGTTGCATCATCTGTTGTGTGTTTACTCTACAGCAGTTGAGGTGGGATTTCGTCGGTTTGGAAATAGTCTAGTCCAACAGAACCATGCTTGATGACAAACAACTTTACATGTGCAGCGCGGTGTTCCTGCTTCCCGAATTCCGATAGGGATTCTCAGCGATGTTTACCTAAACATGTGGTATGTGGGAATTGATGTGGGTCGATTGGCCTTCAAGAGGCTCAGGTTGTTAAGAGGTTGATGGCGTCTTCATCCGCTTGACTTTAGACTGACTGCAGACCATTGCATGGTGTCTTGTGAAACTGCAAGTTCGGGGTACGAAATTGTTTGGGAGGTCGTGGTTGTTCCTGCGAGCATTTGGCGCACACATAGTGATTATTCCACGTTCCACATGTGTTGTTTAGAACTACCCAACCATCGCGTCGACTGCACGCATCAGATTTATCGTAAACTACTTAATGTTTAATCGTGTCTGGTGATATCCTGAGGGATACGGTACTGTTTAATTAAGTATTGAACTGTTTTTGAGTGTCCTAGGTTATTCCGAGCTCTGACCGACTGACGGCGGCACACCAGTGACCGCGCATTGTAGGACGCCGACAGACACATGTTCCACCAATATGCGGCACGACACTATGTCGTCTGAGCCTGGCACTATTCGAAAAGATGGTTGGAAAAGTCAGCGGTTATTGTTCTCGTGTCTTGAAGGTCTCCAAATTCCTTTGGAACCTTTCTTTCGCCGTGGATATCGTGATCGCGGGGCAGTAATATTGTGTGCAGTGTGCCAGACAAGTTTGACACTGCTAACCGGCGAAATAGTGACCGTTTCACACACCAACTTGAAAACTAGCCGTAGAATCGGAGGTTAAACACTTCATTTGGGCTCGAAGGTTGCATCAACCAAGGCGGAGCTCCCTGTCACAACACTCTCCGCAGAAATTTTTAACCATCCGCAGAAGAACACCAGGCTCACTAACAGCAATATATTCGTGTTCCCCTGTTCATACTGGCCATTACGGTATCAAACGCGTAGAAGTTGTATGGCTGTGCTCAGCATTGGAGAAGAACAGACTTCTGTGTATCATCCTGGATCAGCTTGTATGCAAAGGGTGCTGTCGGCTGGCTATAAGGAGCGTGCTTGCAGCACCAAATGGAGTATTGTAGCGAAGGGAGCTTTTACCAACTTGCCACCTCTCTTTGTACCCGATCATGTAGCACACGACTGAGGGCGCGGTGGAGGGTGGCGTTTGCTTGAAAAGACGACATATCGACTAGCATCACATGTTATGCGATGCTCGGCCAGTGGATGAGGCCAAAAATTAGGCCGCATCTTGGTGGTGGCCACAAAAATCCGCCCGTCGAAAGGTGCATGCCGCCAAAAAAAAGGATGGATCATCACCTGCGGCCTGCACCGCGCTTAAAACGATGGCTACCACCAGACAAAGTGAAATGTTTGTCGCTCGACCATCTGTGGTACCAGTTTCTTGCCGACCTCCTCCACATCGTTGAGGACGACAAACAACAATCGGAAGCGATCACTGGCTAAATGGGAAGAACGCTGGCCACATGTCCTTCTCCGGGAATCGCCTGTGGCTAAGGATATGTCCGAGAATCGGGGGTCACGGTCCTCCACCAATTGCCTTTGGTTACGATCGCTGGCGAGTTGGTTGAAACATACACACGTAATTGCATTGCAGGCCTGCCGGCTTTCCGGCCTTGTCCATTCACTTCATTGCATTACCATGGGGCTCCAGCTGTCGAAGGGTACTCACTCAGAAACACCGCGATTGATCAGATAAATGGAACAAATTCCCTACATAGCTCTCTATCACACAGTCACTCGTTGAGCGGCGATTCGAACCAGAAGAACAAAGGAAAGCAGCCATAATACGTTGTAGAAAGAAAACCCACAACGGCACATCAATCTCAGGCTGTTTCTCTTCCACCCTCTGCTTCCAGGAAGTCCCTCCCGCCTCCCCAACACCCGCACCCGCGTACTATATATAGTCAGCGACAATATTCACATCCGACCGTATTCGAAGCATGTAGAGCCCCCAAACGTTTCCTTCTTTTGTTTTCCCTCCCCTAATTTTCCCTCCTTCCGAAACGGGTTTGTACCAAGTATTACATACGTACAACAGTGTGTAGCAGGGCACCTACATGTTTTCACCATAAGCGGGTGACACGACCGGGACGCAAGTAACCACAAATGGACCAGCAGCAGAACAGCATAGGCGGGTTGTCAGCCCGCCTGGCTACGCCGCTTCAGCACCAACGGGCACACCTCAGGGCCTTCGTGATGAGTCGTTCGTCAAGATGCCTCCGTCTTTGCCCCAACAATGAAGTCACAGAACAAGTCTCACCAACACAATTAACTAATTGTTCAAACCCAGGCTGCGGTACTAGGACGCTGGCATTGCGGCACTTCGCCGGATAGTACAAGCGCGGAACAATGTCACCCGGGACAGTGTGAAAGTTGATGGTGAGCGTCAATAGCTATATGGCACCACCCCCAAGGCAGACAAGAATCATTTCGTGCATATCTTGAGACGGACGGAGCCCCACCCCCTTTACAGTACACGCACAGCAGACGATGGAACGTCATGTCCCACGGTGTTGCAGCGTCGCGGGGGTTTGACCACAATCTACCCTCACAGCTCCTGGCCGATCGGGGCTTGCACCACACCCGCGCCCGAACCACATGCTTCTCCCTCGCTCGACCGCACCGCCGTGGACCCGGACTCGGCCACCATCATCGCACGAGGAACATCCGCCCCCGCCCCAGTCGCTGCTCCCACACTTGCCGAGGTGAGCATGGACACGGCGCTCGCGGTGCTCGAAGCCGGCTGCAGTGCTCCCTCCGCAACGGGAGCAAGACCCCTAGCCGCTCTCGCCATCTTTGGCACCCGGCGCCGCCTCTTGCTCCTGCCGAGTTGAAGGCAAGAGCAACGATCGATGACGAAGAGAACTTTGTCAAGGGGAACAACAACTTCGTCGACGGCTTCGAATGGATCAGGCTCCTTGACTTTGCAAACCGTAGTCTGTGCATTCAAAGTGTTCAACCACGTGCCGTAAAATCAGGATCTCTGAATATTCTCTATGTATCATTCCAAACACGGGGGACGAAGCGATCTGACTAAGCCCGAAAACAATATCGATGTCGAATAGGCGTTCAAAATTGACATGTGCAAGCCACCTGAGAAAGAAACAGTAACGACCATTGACAGCTACCTGAGAAATTTCATCCTCTCGTTCTTCTCAGCCTGCTCTGTCTCTTGCGCTTCCTTCAAAACCGCCTCCACTTCAGCCCTCTTGAGCATCACCGCGCCCTCGTCTCCGAGCCACGGGTGCTCTCCCGCCTGTCGTGCGGACATCCTCTCCGCCGGGTCGAGGACGATTAGCTGTGGGGGTACAGAAAGCGTGGCCGGGAAATAGGGAACATAGGCGGTGTCGTTTCGGCACCTACATAGTGTCGCAGGGTTCCGCAAGTCCTGGAAGCTCCCAACGTCAATACAGGTCTTGCACAGCCAGCCGAGGTCTGGCAGACGTTACAAGACTCACGAGCAATGTTCGCTGCCAGCCGAGGTCTGGCAGACGTTACAAGACTCACGAGCAATGTTCGCTGTACATACGAAATCTACATTGTGAATGAATATTCACTGCGGATCGGCGCAGTGTGTCCAATATCGACGAGGTCATCCTCCACCAATGCTCATAGCAGTTTAGTGCTTCGCTGATTTACACATAGATAGTTTAGTGTACCGTGTACGGCTTGTCCGCTTAGATATGTATTCCCCATTCCATCTACCCTCCCTGAATCTTACCACCGCACAACACATGATCAATATCAACATACATCGTTGCATGCCCATACACGCCACACTGCTCTGCACTGGGAGAAGACTACTTTACGCTTTGTCCACAACACTCGCGCTTTCTCGATCCCATTCACCTTCCTCAAGAAGTCCTCTCCCACCGCTCCGACGCGCTCAGAGTCCACCTTGAAGACCCCAGCTCGGATGTTCTCCCTCTCCAACTCATCGTACGGGTCTAGCCTCATTCGGATGTCCCCCCCCTCCTCGAGGCTCGAGATGTCCTTAGAGATCGGTCCCAGGTCGATGCTGGGGTCCGGGCTGAACTCCGCAAGAGGCGTGGGGGGAAAGAGGGAGCCGGGAGGGTCAGAAGTTGTACATGCGTGTTGTGTTTTCTTCTAGTCGACGGCAAAGCAGCATAGTGCACCTCCCGTACAATCCGTACCGTTTCTGGTACACTGGTCCCGACCCTCTGCGCCTGGCTTTGTAGGCAGGTCTACGCATGTTTACACTAAAATAGGGATACAACTGCAACTGACAACCACGAGACATAATGTACTTCTAGTATTGTACCCACCAGAAGACCGTGACACCCATGAGTAGCTCGAACACCACCACCCCGGCAGCCCACATGTCCGCCTCAATCCCGTAGGGCAATTTGTTCACCTGCTCTGGAGATAGGTAGGGCTGGCGATAGGGTGCCGCCAGCAGAAACAACGGAAAGACCGCGGGTGTTGCATGCAGCGCATGAGGCACGTGAGGTGTACAATCGACCCGTAAACAGCCACACAACAAGTTGCCGCACGTCGAACGGTTTCAATAACCAGTAATCGGGCAACATCATCCCACCTTGGTACCACATAGCCCGGTCATGGTGGTCTCTCCCTCCGCCAGCATCTTCGAGAACCCGAAGTCAGCGAGGCGAACTTGCATGTCTGTGCTCATGTCGGTCAACGTGTCCATTTCGATTACGTTGCGGTTGCAAAGGGAAGGGAGCGGGGTGGGTGGGTCACCGACGTTGTTGCCCCTACATGTACCCAGTCGTGATTGGTTGCTCCACTCCGTTGCAGAAAGCCAAAGTGCTACTAGTGTAGCAAGGAACGGGACGGAAATGCTTCCAGCCTTGCTAAGAATCAATCGCCCAAGCGCCGGACCATGCCATAACGCCGAGGTCAAGCTCGCTCGACCACCGTGACGTGCATGTCCTCTTCCTATATCACAGTGGTGCCATAGCGATAGGACAGGCACAACTCCTGGACCTACGGTAATCGCACAATCACACCAAGAGACACAACCACTGTACACTGAGACGGCTTGTACGACCCCTTCCCTCCCAAACAGGGAGCACCGTACCATAGATGTGTTTACCAGTTTAAGTATTAGTACAATCAGAGTACAATCGCAATTCGCAACAAAGGTACACCTATCATCCTATCATAGGCTGTTCTCACCGTTAGTGATCAGCAAGTTGGCCGGCTTCAGGTCTCGGTGCAGGATGCCCTTGCTGTGTACGTGCTCGATTGCGGAGAACATCTGGATGGAGATCGTCACGGCCTCCTTCTCTTGCAGGGGCTTCTCCTGTTGCATTCATTGCGGAAAGGAAGCGCGGTATTTCGTGTTACGCACGGTGTTCAAGTGCCTTCGGGTCTTGTGTTGTGCGAATGAACGGAATTCTCACGATCTTCCCCGTCCATTGAACGTCAGAGAAACCCGTAACGATTGTCAAACTCACGCCAAATATTTCAAACATTGCGAGCGTAGAAACGATAGCCACGACGAAAGTTTAACCTTGGAGGAAAATTTCACATCCCGCCGATAGGAGATTTGGACGGACTACATAGTAGACGCAGGAACGTGCAAACACTCCGTTGGTGCACCTCGAGAACTACTGCTGTAAAGAACAGATACATCACTGCCAAACCATGGATACTCGACACCGAAGCGAACACGTGACCGGTAAAACTGCCACTTCTCAGACGATTACATCAACACCAACACATGATCAATACTGCTGTTGGGTATGTATTTCAATCGCCTCTCATCCCGACGGGAGTACCAACGCCGACAAACGAGCAAACAAGTGAGGACCGGAGCAGCGAGTCTGTCGTTCCCGCACTAACCTAAGCAAATCACTATTGCACTACTGCTAGTTCATCCAACAAGGGCATACCGCACCTTCAGGAGAGTCGCGACGTCCGAGTGCAGAAGGGGCATGATCATGAAGGTGCTGTTGTAGTTGAGTTCGACACGGGATGGCCAGGTAAGCGTGGGTCAGACAACGCCAAACACGTAAGCAAGTATTCATTGTACCGAGCACAGCGTTTGGTTCTAGCACACAACATTACTACAACTACGTGCTCAACATAGCGATTCCTATGCAACAACCCGCCCCACCCTACGAAGCACGTCGATAGAACGCCTTTCGATGGCCTCAGTCGCCTTTCGATTTCAACACTAGAATGCTGTACATGTACGGCACACGCTGTCATCTTCAAAAGGCCTGCTGATTCGTACCACCATGGGTCGCAAACAACCCAGACATGCACAAGTACAGACAGGCAGCGCGCGACATGTGAAGGATACACCTCAGACAGCACTATCCACCAAGAGAGATTGACTGGTAGAATCTCACGTGCTGGGAGTCTTAAGGGTGCCGAGGATGTCCACCACGTTCGGGTGGTGTGCGGCCATGGTCAGGGTCTGGATCTCGCGGTTGATGTACTTGTCCTGCAGGAATCGTCATGATTTGTTGGTGTTATATTCGGTGGTGCGACCCTAATGTAGAGTTGGGAATACCGTGAATGGGTTACTTCAAACGTAGAATGGCAACCGGATTTTGCTGTGCGACTGCCACCCGCGGAAGGGTTGCAAATCTCGTGTGGCTGAAAGCTATTGTTCTACAGTATGGTGTTGTTCAAAGGTTTGGTGAAACTTCGAAGCTAACCTACCTCAAGCAAGGAGTACATGACACGCGGTATGGAGCACGCACGCAGCACGATGGGTGCTCGCAACCGCGCCAAGAAGCCAGAAAGCAAGTACAGCAGAAGCAGTCTCGAGGGGCTATCGCTATAGTGGCCTTTGTATTTCTTGCGTTACTGTATACTTTCAACACCGGGCGTGCTTAAGCCTACTGTAAACTATATGACGACCTTGTGGCTGTGCGTCCAAGATCATCGTGGTCACTTCTCAGTGCAGAACTTGCATGGACAAGAACACATCACCGCTCTTGCCTGGCTTCCAAAGGCGTCGCTGTCCCTGTTGATGACCTTGATGGCCACAGGCATGCCCATGCTGGTCTGACCAAATACGACCCTGGCTGCTCCAAGAGCGCGTCAAAAAAACGCCATAAACACATGATTGGTACGCAGGAACGTCAACACAATTGTTTGGCGGATACTCTCCATTGCTGTGGATCGAATACTCTAGACTACACGTCGAACGGCGAAACACAAGTAGACTACACCATAAATAATAAATACACCGTCTAACTCAATCTTCGTTTCCAGCCTCCACCGCGTTGAACATGGCAAGAACCTTCTAAAGCCGAATTCTAGCCACGGGGGCAGGGGGATGCACTCTTTATCCTAGCACCTAGGACGATACGGTGACGATCTCCAGCAGAGGGCAAAAGTGAGTACAGCAGTAGTCTACTTCTCGTAGACATTGAAACCAATCACGTTCTCCGTGCACCGGGACAACATTCGTCTGACAGCGCGACGAGTTGATTTACCAGACGTTTCGGCTGTGCTGCAGCTGTTCGAGCTGTGCATCGCTCGCTGAGTCCGCGCGGTGCTGCTGTTTTCGTTGCTCACCGAACGTGCCACCGCCAATCTCGGCATCGATGACCTTCATCGCGACGTCTCTTGCCTCCCACTTCCGCATGGCGTTGTCGTCGCTGCGGCGGAATGCTGGAGGCATGAAGGACGCCTCCTCAACCTCCTCGTCTTGACCAATGACAGACCCCATCATTACCGCCGCTCCACCTGTGATTGCGTAGGTGAAGATGAGTGTTCCCGAATTCAAAAACACGTACGAAGTACGACACAGCCGGACTTCTGTCTTGGATCAGACACGAACAACAGGTCCGAACATGCCAATGGAACCACCCCTGATCACGGCAGGAACGGCAACGCCAGACATTCTTCGAGCATTTGAACCCGCTCAAGGTCCAACACGGCTGTTAGGCTCCATGAGGGCTATCGAGAGATCCGATCTCTCTTTCTTGCACTAGGCACAACAACAGAGCTAGGGTACTGCAGCAGCATGTGTATGCGCTTGAACGGTCAGAGCGCAGAGTGCGAAATCTGTCCGGGCCTCTCGGGAGGACGAGGTGGTTCGGCGGCAGAACCTAGACTATGCCGTTTCACTACATGTAATTTTTCAGAAGGGTTTTTCGTCTCCCCATGGTGGTGTTGCGTGGACTTCTCACGGGACTATCGACTACAAGGGCAGCTTGAAAATGTCGAGTACAACCCCACGAGGTGAGTTGTTTGCTAGATGCGCAATGCCGGGTGGGTACTGGCACTGCTGCTGACTGGAATCATGGATCATACTTGTAGGCTAGACAGAGACCATGAGCAAAAGCACAGAGATTCGGGGTAACCCAAGATCGTCTAAGCCGCAGCGTTAAGCACGAACAAACGCGATAGATGTGGTGCTGTACTGTTGTAGTTGATCTGCGGTACTGGTGGTAGACTAGTTTTACATCTCAAACTGCGCATGGATTTGGTACAAGCAGTCCAGTGAGAACCCCACGAAGAAACAGCATGTAGAAAACGTTTCAAGAAAATCGTGAAACGGACACAGCAGCAACAATTTTTGTTTATTTTTGCGCGCCAAAAACCAAAGAAACGCACGTGTACATATGCATTCTTGAAGTCTCTGCTGACGCCACGCCACAATGATAAGTGATTGCTGGTTTATCTCGGACTCTTATCTATCTATCTGTGTAGAGATGATTCGTTGTGATCTTGTACGAAAGAAGAAACACCAAACAAACAACAAATAGATAAATAATATGCAGTTTGAATTCATTCATTCCTCGACAGGTGAGAATACCCTTGCTCCAGGAATGCAATGCCTATTTGCTTGTTCGGTGTTTTTTCTTTCGTACAAGATTGACGACGACAACAGTGGTGAACTCGACTAAAAAAAAGGCAAGTCGTAAATACTCATTCGTCGTTCTTGTACTACAGCAAAAACAACAAACAAACAAATAGTCTAAGTCTACAAGGCATTGAAGTACTGGCCAGTGTAAGTAAGTCGCGATCTTGCCTTCTTCCTCGTCGTGCTCACCGTTGTCGTTGATCTCATTCTTCATGTCCAAAATGCTGCCGGCCTTCATCTCCTCCGGTTCGTCGGCCGCCTTGTCAACCACGTTGTCCACCCCGGCCTCGATGTCCCTTGCTTGGTCAACGCCTCCGTGTCCACTAGCGGCAGTGGGGTTGACTGTGGCCGACATAGGGGGTGGTGAAGTGGCGCCGGTAGCAACCGAGCGAGACACTCCAATGCCAGAAGCGGAGGCAGAAGCAGAAGCGGAGGCCGCCGCAAAAGCAGCGGCAGCCGCACAAGCAGATGCGGACATCGAACGGGGGACAGACGTGGCACCGGGAGAGGAGGTTGAGTAGAAAGTGCTCGTCGCGGCAGGGTCTTCCTCGGCCATGGACTGGAAAACCGACGACACTACCCTCGACGGCCTCATGGTGTGCCCGGCCTCATCGTACTCCGCCACGCTTTCCCAAGTAGGAAGAGTATCTTCATTAACCGGACGAGTGGCACCACAGGAGCGTAGGGCCCACGAAATCCACTGCGAGCACGATTTGGTCGATCAAGGCACACGGATTTGCACAAACAAATGGCACAAAACAAGTGTTACCGACAGTATCGCTTATGCATTGGCTCCGCAACATGCGGAGAAACTACGCATTCAAGCTGCATGCCGTTTTGGGAAAGCGTCGAAGTCGAACTTGTGTTTGCCAATCAGTCATTCCACGCATGCCTCGGTACCCCTTGTTGTCTACTTTTTGCGGGTCGGAGGTAGTTCGCATGCAGTCAAAGTGCGCATTAAATCCTACCGAGCATACGTATACACGAAACAGTCATTTCTCAGATGTCCAGGTGGTTGAGTTCCAGACTACCAAGTACAATTTCATAGCTTTTGTCTTACCTGTCCCAGAGGATTGGCGGGCGCGACGTCCATGTAGTCGTTCTTCGTGACCTTCCTTGACGTGCGGTTGCTGTGACGTATTGGCACAGAAAAGAAAGACGGCGCGCCATACAGTAGCAGTACGAGAGAAAACAACCACCACGTGTTAGGCGAGGGCAGCATCTCAGTACCGTATGACATTGTTCACAGTGGGCTGTTCAACCTCGGAGTAAGTGCGGAGTGTATGGACGTGAGTCCGATGCATGTTGTTGCGACCCTTCAAGAGTGGCCATTCTATCGTCTCTGTGCGGAAGTGCACCACAACATGCAACAGCAGCAGTAGTGCAAACGATCGACGCCCAACCAGACGGCCACAGCGTCAATCAGTTGTTACATGCTTTTCCTCCGACACTGGATCATCATCTCAACGTCATATGAGATGTTTACATGGATGGACGAATCCTCGACTCTGTGCCCGACCTTGGACTATCGCTGTATTGGTGTCTTCGGCACTTCGGCGGGACTTGGGGTCCATTTGTCCACAGCGCCCGAAAAGCCCAAAAATATGGTATGTCGACCCCACAAAAGGATGGACGTATTTGTAAGTTTGTTTGTGGTTCCCCCGTGGTAAAAGCGACAAACAAGCCGACGCTCAGGAAACACGGCCTACACCGGACGATCTCCATATCGTAAAGTCATGTGAAAAACATGTATGCACCCAATTATCAAACTCCGAAAACCAACCAAAGCAAACGAAACACTAGCTGAATCCGGCCGTACAAATGGCGAAGAATGTGCTTGAAGGCACACGGCAAGAAAGGCATGCTATCCAGGTAAAGTTTTGTCTGTTCTAGTTCTGACCGGGCGAAACTTGTGACATGTGCATGGGAAACCGAGTAATAAGTAGTGCTGTACAAAAGCGCCAAACAGCCATCGTACCTCCGGCAACGCGAATGAGTGCATCCAAATGGCTGCGGAAGCTACCGACGGACGTATCAGCGTGGTTCTGACAAACAACACGGGCGTTGTCATGTGTGCGTATTTATTTGTACAATTTTCAACGATTTTTCAATGTGCCCTCTCCCATAACAAGACTTGAACTTTACCTGCGGCAGCACCAGCCGTATTTCGAGCGAATGCGCGATAAACACCCCCTTGCCCTCCGAGAGCACCGGCTGGGTGGTGCCGTGTCAAACATCGACATCATGTTCATACTGGAGCTGAACAACAGCGAGAGATCGCGTGCAGAGGACGACGAAACGTAGGGAAAATGCGGGGTGGTGAGCGAGTGGGAGTGAAAAACCCACAGGGAAGCCGCCACGAACAATCCCCAGTTAGTTTCTCGCTCGCTCTTTTCTCTGCCGCACAGGTGTGGGCTAAAGCAGCCTGGACGCCATGGTGTGGGCACCCTCGGTACAGCAGAAACGCAGTAGCAGCAGCAGCACGGCGTTACCAATTGAACCCAAAATCATTCTCTCATAGCCCAACTCCCGACAATTCGGGGTGCCGTTCCTAAAACACACGGCCCCTTTCGCCCGGTGACAACGCGCAGCCAGGACCACAGCGTGAGAAGCTGCTTCTTTCACTTCTCCCCACAACAGCTATTATTGAAGCTACAGCAGTGCCCACTAGTTGTGTACCAACAACAACGTTCATGGTACTTACACACTGCTGACAATACAGCGGGTTTGCGTAGGAAAAACGACACCAGCCCTCGGTACAGCAGAAACGCAGTAGCAGCAGCAGCACGGCGTTACCAATTGAACCCAAAATCATTCTCTCATAGCCCAACTCCCGACAATTCGGGGTGCCGTTCCTAAAACACACGGCCCCTTTCGCCCGGTGACAACGCGCAGCCAGGACCACAGCGTGAGAAGCTGCTTCTTTCACTTCTCCCCACAACAGCTATTATTGAAGCTACAGCAGTGCCCACTAGTTGTGTACCAACAACAACGTTCATGGTACTTACACACTGCTGACAATACAGCGGGTTTGCGTAGGAAAAACGACACCAGCATACATCCTAAAATTGGCAACCTACTGTAGACTAGACTAGTCTACAGTTCATACACACAGCAGTCAGTGTTTGATTTCACGGAGTGAGACACATCTATACCTGTCCTATTGCTGATAGTGGCTCGAGTCTAGCTTTGTGCTGACTTTGCCTGCTATATACTACTGTAGAAGCGACCGATTTCGATTGACTCGTCCCAAATCGGTGCCCACGATAGGCTCGAACAAACACGTCAGATATGTGTGCACTGTCGTTTCACAGCGAACATGAGGGGGAACCAAAGCGTCCGCTGGCGACGCTTTCACTCCCCGGAAATATTTCATCAGTAATGTTTGCCCTCCGCTGTGCACCGATTCGATAAGCCGAACACTGTGTGTTGAGCATGGAACACGCATCGCCGAGGGTTCCACGTGTGCCAGCGGTGGCAGGGGGCTAGAGGCGGGGGTAGCTCTACACATCCATGCCATGTCATGCACGGGATCCAGCGGCAGTCCGAGGGGGCGACGGTTCAGCTCGGCGAAAAAGACAAGGCATGCAGAGGGAGTTGGACAGGCGCACAACGAGGGAATCAAAGCAGCGAGCACCGAAAGCAAGCACCATGTCAACATCCCTTGTCTCCCCTCGGTGTACCCTCCATTCACACCTCGCGATCCCGGAGAGTTAAGCGGGTGTGCCCTCCGGCGCTAGCTGCAGGCTAGATCTCAGCTCACCCGTCTGCAAAAAATCTGCTGGCGTGAAGATTTCACCCCACTCACCCGAACCACGCGAGTGACTCCTCTTCACTTCTCTGCTAGCTCTCTGGCCCAGCTTTGTCGCCGGTTCCTCTCCCCTCGCTGTGATGGCGCGCTGTTGAGCCACGCCAAGGAAGTTGCAAGGGATGAGGTATGAGTGAGAGGCAGAGAGGAGCGGAGAGGAGGGGGGCCCGTCGATACATTTTTGTTGAGAAAATGCGGCTCGATTTTTCAAATTTTCAACACCGTGGGTTTGCCTCACTGGGAGGGGATGTTTCATAGTGACCCCGGGTTCTGTATTGTATTGCGGTTGGAAGCGCCTTGCTTGTGGCAACGGCTATTGTGTCTGTAGAGGAGGCTGGCTTGTGTAGGTATCTGATCTGACGGCACTGCTACTGTACCTCAACAGGGATATGGACAGTACACGTAGGAGACGGCTGTATGTGACCCTCGTCTTATTTGAGTGGGCGCATATTTGCACACGTTCTCGCCACCTCTGTAATGTTCATGACACGATCCACAGTGTCATACGGGCACCCGTTGTTATTTATTTTTCAAGCACGGCGATGGTGGAGTCATCTGCTGGACTGAGAATGATCAGTTCGCCTCTCTTCTGTTCTCACCCGTAGACTGAACAAGACCTCCTTGAACACCTTCCACGTGGCGATCTCGAGACACACAGCACGTGTACATCCGGTCAAAGGATGTCCCTCTTGAACTGTTGATGTTCGAGCAAGTGGTTGAACAGACGACATATTCGATGTTTGTGTCTCTCCTCAGTCGTGATCTGCACCACTGCTGTACAGCAGGAGGTTTGGGTAAACCTTCGGTGGTGTTGGGAGCGGATTGCTACAGTTGGTATGCAGCAGCGAGAAGAGCACCCTTGGACAAATGAGAGCAAGTTGCACGCCCGACCGGTGACGGTAGAGTCCAGGTTGTCGCCTCCCTCCCCGCATGTCACAACGAGCTCGGGCTCCTGGTAGAAACAAAGGAGACCATTAGTTGGAGAGGCTTGCTCCAAATGTTCCAAAACGACTCCAATCAGACTCATGATGACTTGCGCTTCTTTCTCGCTCAAGCATGTGAGATTCTGCCTCTTGGCGCAATGGAAAAGAGCTGCTGTCGTCGACTCTTCACGTCCGTCTGACAGCTCACTCACACACACGCCAGAGAGAACAGAGAACGCGCCATGCACACCTGCAGCAGTGCAGTCAACTTTTGGGAACGTTACGTTACCTCTGACCTGCCAACAGCTGTAGGCCGAGACACCTGACTGAGGAGATGCGAACAAATGTTTTACTATACTGCGCACCACATGCGAGTGTTCCTTCTCCTTCAATCAACTTCCACAAAACTTGAAATTCTTCAACGTTCCAGCACACCACGCTCTCGTCCCCCCTCCCCCGGCTTTCGTGTATACTGTACAACCAGTCGAGGCACACAGCGAAGTCCTGACCCCAAAATTGTGCGAAAAAACATCGCTTCAACACCTACAATAACTACCAAGAGTAAAGGATAAACGCATGAGCGCACAAGAAAATAAAACAGTTGTGTGACACGCCAGTGCACAACTTTCACAGGTAGGTGCGTCACTGCTCACGAAAAGCCATAGTAGAACGATTGAACGTTTGACTACCCACGCTGCCGGACCTGTACCTGCGAAAAGGACAAGCAACCCGATCAGCTTGGCCCCCTACAGAGCGCTTGTGGCTTTGGGCCATCTCAGCTGGGACACCATAAGCTTGCACTACGGGTCCCCTGATGGCATGCGGTCACTATTGCCTCCTTATGACCCAAACAAGTTTGCTCCTGAAACAAACCCGAGTCTGGCAACAGCCAAGCTTTTGCCACCTTCAACCAGCACTCCCTCCGTTCAAAAAGGCCTGTCCCTCTTACCCCCCCCCGGCCCCTTTTTTCTTTCCCTGATTTCGTTTTGTGATTCTCCATCCACTCCTTGGCCATCCTCCCTCTGTTGTGTTTGCTTTCACACAAATCTTGCTTCCTTTCGTCTTGATCGGTCGATTTTTCGCATGTCGTGCCATGCGCTTGTGTTATTTCTTCACACCAATATTTCTTCCTTTCGTCTTAGTCGATTGTGAAAGACAATAATTGGTGCTACGCCGTGCGAACCAACCCGGGTTATCAAACCGGGCCACGGGCAACCTCCATCGCCTTGTCAATTGTGTCAACGCCCTGACTGATGCCCTGCGCGCGGTCCCCCTTGCCTCCGCCCTTTCCCCCCCTGCCGGACGCATCAAGCGCACACTGAAGCCGAGATGACATGCATGCGCGACAAGGACAGCCGGAAGGGCAGCGTGGAGGGCGGGGGCATGAACACACGCGCATACAAATGCTCACAAGTGTTCAAACAAGGAAACTAAAACGATCTTGCCAGAGAGCTGATTCGTCGTTTCAGTGCTGATACCGCATTTTGGGAGACACCATACCGCTGGGGCAGCTTGTAGAGCAACCGTAACACTTCCAAACGACACAAAGAACAGCAGCCTCGTGGTGCATGTGGAGCGCGTACCACACTTCCAAGTGTAACCTTCGGGTAAATCTTCGGACCAGGCTGTCTAGACAAAGAACGAACGCCCAACCGAAACATAGCCTTGAGTCTGTACGCGAGCATGGGAGTCTTCCTGACCCCTCTATCGCAACCTAAGTGCCAGTGAATTATCATCACACCTGCACCCATTTGTTGGTGTCCTTCTTCGCAGCCTTAGAGTTGGGGATGAGGCCGCAGCACAGATACCGGTCAGCCTCTTCGTCCGCGGTGAAGAGCATCATGGACGTCTGGTTAACAGGAGGATAGCCATGCCAGGACGTGGGAGAAGGACGAAAATTGAGGTTTGTAGTTGATACATGGTGGTCACAGGATGCCCAACATCGATTCAAGCGTTGTGGGGTACACTTGTACCGCGGTGTGCCCGGGACGGGTAGGCGCACAGACCTGTGTACCTGTAACATGTAACCGGCTTACCTTGCGAGAGAGTATACCCCTCAAGATATTGTATCGGCTCGCAAATGACCAATCCTGATTCACATGAAAACTTCGCGCGTCGGTGTGTATGTATGTAGAGTGGCGCAACAGCAGTAGTACACATAACATAGTGCAACATGGTAGCACTTTGGCGCACGTGCTCACCAGTTCAGGACATGCCTTGGACACCTCGGCGAGGATCTTTACGGCGGACTTCGCATCGCACCCGAAGTCCGCGCGGAAAACCAGCTGTACGTACAAACGCGAGAGGGTAGCGAGGAGTGGTTCTGTTACTATGACGTTCCACGGTCTGTGGCGAAGTGGTGGGCTCCTCGACAACATCGTGCGTAGGGACATCCGGTTCCCTCGACCCAATCGGACTCGTGCTCGGCGCAGTGGCACGCCAATACATGGTTCAACATAAGACTCTGGAACGAACACTGCAATGATTCGCTAATGCTGGCGCACACTCTAGCGTCCTGTGTTGACAACCTCGCAAAATAATCAAGACAGCAAGACTAGTCCGAAATCCAGACAAAAAGACTTGCCCAGAGCGAATAGCAGACTTGCTAGAGACCTGGCACCGACACAAATAGCCTGCCTCTTAAGCATGGGGCAAATACGCTGGAGCAGTGACACCATACTTCTCGGAGCTGCATATCTCTAGATAGCTTTCAATACCCTCGCGAGTCTGACGTCGCTCCTGCTACCGTTTGTTGTCCAAAGTGTTCAGATTTTAACACGAAATATTTCCAACTTTAGTACCTGGGTCCCACCAGCCTCCTTGGTCTTCTCGGCTTCCGCCTTGCCCACAGTGACCGCCTGTCCCACACGCTCCTCCATCACCTTCTTCTTCAGTGCCTTAGCCTAGAATTTGAAGCCATCACAGGTACGACGTCGAAATGCTGTGAGCAAACGCGCTATACGCCAAGCACAGTTGAGAAAACAGGTTCGGGTTCCATGCATGCACCGTAACAAGTTTCCAGCTTCGGTGCGAGGCTCTCCTTGAGATTGTCCGAAAAAAACGCCCGCCGGCACCAGTGTATCCCCAACATACAATACCACCACACTAACATCTCACAGTGCACTATTAATAGGGTTCTGCACACTGCATATTGTAGAGAATTGCAGGTCGTTCGCGTGTCCTCACAACACCTTCTACACACACAACGGCCGGCCGACAGCCAGTACTGAGGGATAAAAGCTACGACGGCAATGCCACGCCCATGGTGGCCCTACATGGATCACTCGTGCGCGAAGTAGTACAGAAATAAATTAAAGTACCTTTTGGACGAGGGTCGCCAGACGAGCGCGTAGTTTGTTCTTCGTCTTGACCGAGATAACTGCACCGTCAAGCTCCGCACCCAGGCGTCGGACCTGAGAACGTCGTGGTATCGTGGTATCGTTGTATCAACGCACCAAGACTAAAAGCCGCCGCAACGCTTTCGTGTTTTGTACGAAGTTGATTCATAACACGGAAGTGGTCCGCCACAACAACGTCTTAGGGTCACCCGGCTCGTGATGATTGTATGTCCATTGCGTGCAATCGATGTGAGATACTATAATAGCGGGCGATAGACACGATCAAGGGATAGAGCGGTCTTCCCAATATTGCATGAATATCGCGGAGGACAGCTACCCTCTACCCTGAGAGAAGACGAACGGATAGCAAGTCTCGTGTCCCCACGGGCGCGACGGCAAACACAAGCTTTGAAGTATTGAGGTACTTACCGTAGTGTCGAGAGAGATATCTTCGATCCCGTCGGCCACGTCGAGCTGCTGTTCGAACGCCTTGGCCCTCTCAACAGCAGCAAGGGCCAGCCCGCGGGTCACTGCGACAATGCGCCGCACGCCCTTGGCGATGCCCGCCTGTGCATTGCAATACCATAGAGCATCATGTTCCATCAGTCCGTGCATACGTCCCACCAACAACAGCATGGCCCTACATCACCGGATATCAACTGCATGCACCTGACCGGTGGCCAGACGGCAAATCGTCACCCGTTGAACTTGATGCACGGCATCAAGTTAGAAGGATTCTGGCCGTCTGGTTGGGTGAAGTACATATCCTCCGTGAGTTCTCTCCACGCATGTACTATTAATACTTGGCTTCATGGTCTTGTCTCGTGATCGTGATTCTCGACCATGGACACACAGCCTTCATAGCGCACTCGTTGAAGCACAGGTATATCCATGTAAACTTGGCATGAACATCCTATGATTCCCGCTTTTTTTTTTTCTGTCGTCCCATATATTCTCGGCACGTCTACACCTCTCAGTACACTCCATATTTGACGCACCAGCGGCATCGACGTGCCAGTTACGGATAAAGCCATCTCTGCACGTACAGGAACACGCCACAACACGGCCATGCCCGGTACTGCTCTATCACCTCCTCTAGGATGACGAACGTCTCCGCCTCCTGGGTGTTGCTCAGGTGGGTTCCGCCGCAGAACTCCACCGAAACGTCAGACCAGGCCGAGTTCTCGGGGTCCTCAAGCATTGCCGGGACCTGTTGCAATTATAAACACCAATCAAATGAACCTCCAGCACGGTGTGCGATACCATGCCACACCGAAATACATAAAACAGGACGTGATACATGGCATACATATTTCCTCCGAACCAGGCAGGTCTGACAAACCGACAAACTCTGCTATTCTAGCAGTTGTGACTTCAAGCCGACCTCCAGCCCTCGTTTCGCCGAGTCACAACGATATCGATATGGTACTCACTCATCCGTTCAACCACAAGTGCGCACGCTCAGTCACTCAAGTGTCAGCCGTTAAATTTCAATAGCATCCGAACTCGTTAAGATGGAGCTCTCGAGCTAATACCGGACTTCAGTTACACGCAGCTAATCTGCACCTGCGAGGAAGAGCTTCGAGGCAAAACACATGTGCATGCGATAGGACGCCTGAGGTATACATGCTCCGCAGTGTTCGCGCACTTACATCCTGGCCGATGCTGAGCACTCTCACTGGGTCAGGATACCTCTCGCCAAACACGCCGCGGAGGCTCTGGATGCGCTGTGCCTGATGACGGTCGGCGAATGAATGGTGTTATTGCAGTGGTGACGAAAGCCACAAGCAAGCGACCATCAACGTGCACACCAGCCGTCCGGACAAAGTAACTGTCACGGTAGCTGCAAACGAAATAGAGCAACATGTTATCACTGGTCAGACTATCAGATATAGACAAACCAGTGTTGCACTCGGGTTAATCAATCCGTGGTGACCTCACTCTTGGTCTTGTTACGTCATATGCATACCACAGAATAACTCCGACCACCACTATTGAAGAACGGCAACGGTAGTTGAGGCTGCTGCTCTTCTGAACAACAAGATGCCGCTGACGGCAGCCAAGAAATGAGAAGGTAAGTGAATCCACGATCAAGAACCAAGAACCAACGCTCTACGCTTTACCTGTTCGAGGGGCGCGACGAACGCGTAGACCGGCAAGTTTTTGTTGATCTTGTCGTTCACCAAGTCCTCCACATCGGCTACCTGGTGACATCAAATTGCCGTCAACACCGCATCGAAAACAACAAGGCAACAAGCGGTCGTTAGGCCATCACGCAACAACCAATCCTGATCGTACCTTATTGTAGTAACACAAGAGCCAACAGCTGGAGCCAGCAGCATCATCTCCCACAGATGCAATGTAAAACCGCACTACCGCACCATGAACGGCACCAGCACTTTGGTATTCCCTATTTCCTCAAAACGAAGCTTTCCGGGAACACCCAGGGCGAAGATCTCACCCATAGCCGGCAGCAACTCCAACATCACCAACCACAGGAAACGATGGGAACTTGACAAAGAACAATAATCGTTGCGACACTGACACGAAAGGACCGTCAGCCGCGTATGTGTACGTACCTAGAGGGGAATGGCAGCTAGTTGCACCGCTGAATTGCAATGGAAGACTGTATACAGATTTGTTATTTTTTGCTTTGTGGTTCGTTCGCTGGGCTCTTCGAGCACAAAAACTCAGCTGTGTGAGCTGTTCGAGCTTGAGAAAAGTCACTGATGGCCGCTGGCAGCTGATTCACACCAACTGCTTCATCTTAATCTTGCATGACGCCATCATGACACTACTACTACACTCTGATGAGCCCGCTGCGGAGGCGCGCCTCGTAATGATGATAGAAATGAACCCACCTGTTCAGCCGTGAGAGATCCTGACCACGAGAAGTCGAATCGAAGTTTCTCATCGTCGAGGAAAGAGCCCTTCTGGTCGCACATGCCATCAGAAGGATCCAACACCTTCACGAAAACAAAGAGAGAGCGAACGCGAGAGAGAGACAGAGAGAGAGGGGGGGGGGGGGGGGGGGGGGGGGGCGGTGTTTTTTTTTTCCCTCCCTTTTTTTCTTTTTTGGGCCTCGCGCCCCCCGCGTTGTCCCCCTTTTTGGGTTTTTTTGCCCGTGGGGGTTGGTGCCTGTGTTTTTTTGGGGTTCCTGTTTTTTTCTGCTTTTTTCCCCCGTTCCGGGGGGGGGGGGGGGCGTTTTTTTTCCCCCGGGGTTGGTGGGGGCCCCCTTTTTTCGTGTCTTTTTTTGTTGCCTCCTTTTTTTTTGTTTTTGGGTGGTTTTTTTCCCTCTC